GGTGGATCTCCTGAGGACCCTGAAGGCCCACACGCCCCCAGGGGGCCGCATGTTCCCCTACACCCTCGAGAATTACCGCAAGTTGCTCGCTCGCATCCAGTCGGAGTGTAACCTACCAATGGGATGGACCCCCCACAGTGCCCGAGCAGGTTTCGCTTCAGAGGCCACAGCGTGGGGTATGTCTTTCGAGCAGATTCGAGAAACAGGCCGTTGGAAGGTGGACAGTTCCCTTCGAGTATATATCGACATGGTCCAGGCCGCCCACATAGCCGTGGGGCTCAAGGCGGCTGGGTGGGGTCCAGCTTTCGATTGGGCCGGCCAACACTGGGCCTGGTGTGCGCTACGGGCGTTGCATGGCACCGAAGGGCTCCAGACGCCTGGCTGACGGGTCATGGGCGACACCAGAGACGATACCGACGGCCAGATCGAGCACGCCACCGCCATCACCTTTCTCTACCGGGAACTCGTCCTGGGTACTACCGAGCTACCCACCTACGCCGACTAGTTTGGTTTCACCTTTTGGGCTGACGCCGTCACCAACGCCGACGGGTACGGCAACACCGCCAGTGGCTAAGGCGGCGCCTGGAGTGCCGACTGCATGGGCGACCCCCAGGCCGCAGCCGACCCGCCGACGAGTTTCTTCTGTATGGTACCTGTGGAAGTTGGCTAAGTTGTCTTCCAGCTGCAGCGGGGGCTGCAGCTGTGCTGTGCTCATCTTGGCGGTGCTACTGACTACGGCGTGGAGCCCCCTGTTCGCACGCTCGATGAGCATCGCCTCGGACGTGGCCGAGGAAGTCGGAGGGGCGGCAGGCCGCATGATGGGCGCAGGTGCGAACGTGTCGTCGAGCGCGGCACGGATCTTCAGCGCCCTCACCGACAACACCCTCAGCCTCGCCGAGACCGCTTGGGAAGGCATCGACCTCGCGAATGTTACGGTCAACAGTTCCGCCGGCCGCATCTTTTTCGATGGAAACGAGTACGCCGAGGACGTACTGACTACGCCAGAGGCTCGAGCGGTGATGGGACTGCCCGACCACTGGCTCCAGGCTTTGGCGGATATTTTGATTTTTGCATCACCTTCTCGTCCGCTGGTGGAAGTACACAAGCACCTCTTCATCAGCGACTCATCCTATACCTCCCTGGACCTCTGGATGGCCTGGTTCGATACGGGCCACGTGGGCTTGGCCTGGAGGACTGCAGGTGTTACCTACAACGTACGCTGGGCCAACCCCCTGTGGTCGCTGACCGAGGACGCTACCACTCAGACGGTTCGGATCTCAGAGCTGCTGCAAGAAGCTATCCAGGCGACTATCGACAAGCCAGACCTCACTCTATCCAAGTCAGCCCTACAGCACGCTCCAGCCATCACACCACCCTCAGTGCCGATGAGGATCTGGAGGTGGAGCAAGCGCCTAGCCGCCTGGGCTTGGCCGCGAGACGGGAACGGGGCCTTTCGCTCGTCATCGGCGCCGGGCGCCGAGGACGAGTCCTCTGCCGCCGACGGGATCGCCGCCGACGAGGGCTCCCCGGAGATGGGCGAGGGCACCAGCCACAGCGTGCCAGAGCCCTCAGCATAGGCCGCAAGCGAGTACGGGTGGTGGAGCGAGGACCTAGCGAAGATCAGGTCGACCGAGTGCCTTTCAACGCAGGCTTTTCATCAGATCACACGTTCATTCCAGTCTGCCGGGGAGGTGTGCGTGACCGCACACGGATGTGAATATTTCTCAGCAGTGAATGATAACAAGTTATCTTTCGAGGTCCGTGCAGGAAAATATTGAGTGAGTTTCGTATTCAGCAGCGCCACGCGCAGGCACGTCCCGGCCACTAGGGCCCAAGTGCCCAGAGCCTCTAGGGTGTGGCGTCTAGGGCTGTAGGCTAGGGCTCTCTTTGGTCCTCTTAAGGTTCACTGGGGTGGGGCCCCGTTCTTTGGGATCGCACCTGAAATGGGTGAGTGAGTTTGTGAACGTTGATTTTCAGATAGGTTAGCGAAGGGGCCATAGGGCGGGATATGTCTTGTTGTTTCGGACGTTGTCTCCAGGTCTTGCCTGCGCCCGAAACCGTTTCAAGTTCAAGGCACCCTCCCAGCCCTCGGTCCTCGGTACAGGTCTCACTTGCTGCCCGTTCGTTCTGCCGTCCCCCCCGAGCCGTGGTCAGCACCACGCAGCGGGGGGTTCTTACCGTTCCCCTTCAGGCATCCCTCCCCCTCGCTCGGACCTAGCGAAGATCAGGTCGACCGAGTGCCTTTTCTTTCAACGCAGGCTTTTCATCAGATCACACGTTCATTCCAGTCTGCCGGGGAGGTGTGCGTGACCGCACACGGATGTGAATATTTCTCAGCAGTGAATGATAACAAGTTATCTTTCGAGGTCCGTGCAGGAAAATATTGAGTGAGTTTCGTATTCAGCAGCGCCACGCGCAGGCACGTCCCGGCCACTAGGGCCCAAGTGCCCAGAGCCTCTAGGGTGTGGCGTCTAGGGCTGTAGGCTAGGGCTCTCTCTTTGGTCCTCTTAAGGTTCACTGGGGTGGGGCCCCGTTCTTTGGGATCGCACCTGAAATGTATGTATGTATGTATGTATGTATGTATGTATGTATGTATGTGTACGTATATGTATATGTATGTGTATATGTCTATGTATATATATACATATATATATATGGATACACCAGAGTAGGCCGGGGGGGCCGGCCGGGCCGGTGCCGTACCCCCCCCCATGGGGGGATTGGGGAGGTCTCAGGGCACCCGGGATTGCCCGGGCCCGCTCCCAAACACGCCACGACACGCCAAGAGGGTTTGAAATATTGCCAAAACAGCCGCCAGAGGCCCCGGACACGCCGAAGATGGCCTCAGGACGACCGACGACGCTGCCAAAACGCCCCAAGAACGCCTCCAAAGGCCCTTCCGAAGGGCCCGAGAAGCCGAAAATCAGACATGTTCCGATGGTATTTGAAGCATTTTTGCGCTCTCCCATGCTCCGCCTCCCCACGGTCCCGGACGGCGTCAGAGGCCCTTCAGATCGCGCCAAGACGGCCGAGGAGGCCCCCAAGAAAGCCCAGAGACGGCCCAGGAGACTCGACCCCCAGGGAGTGCAAGAGGGCCTCGAGAGCGCCCCGAGAGAGAGCCCCAAGAGCGACCCAAGAGGGCCCGAAGAGCGCGACATGTCAAGCTCTCCAGCCTGAGTGGCTCCTAGGACGCCCCATGAGGCCATCAAGAGGCTCCCAAGAAGCCCCGTGAGGCTCCCAAAAGGCCCCCCGGAAACGCCACTAGGCCCCCAAAGGGCCCTCAGGGAAGCCCCCTGCGGGCCCCCAAGACACCTCGGTGAATCGTATTTCCCAGACAGCTTGCCGGGAACATGATTCCTTGGGTTTTTGCCCACCGCCCCCGCCGTGTTTCCAATGGGCTTGCCGACGAGGCCAAGAGGGGCCCCTCGGTAGGACCCCAGAGGCCCCCCCTCTTGCGAGAGCCGAACAAGTCATGCTCCAGGAAGGCTCCCCGGGAACATGATTATCGGGCTGCCGCCCTCTGCCCAAGCCATGTTCCCTGAACGCCTGCCAGGAAAGAACAAAAAAAACGAGAGCACCAAGCAGGTTTACCTGCCGCCACGTGCGGAAACGCGTCAGGCCCCGAAGCCTCTGGAGGCGCCCGCCGACGCCCCCACAGATCGTCCTCCCAGGAAGCCTTGCGGGAACGTGTTTCCTCAGGCTTCCGCCCCCGGCCCCAACCATGCGTCCGAAAATGCTTGCCGGGCAGCCCCCCAAGGAACCCTCATGCACGCGATCATGTTACCAGAAAGCTCTCCGATAATTAACATGGTTCCTCAGGTTTCCGCCCCCCGCACGCAACATCTGTCCCAAAGCGCCTGTCAAGCAGGACTCGAATGGGCCCTCAAGTACTTTCCTAGTCTTAGAAGCCCCACAAGATGCTGATGATGACGGTGATGATGACGAAGGTGACGATGATGATGGTGATGGTGATCGTGATGGTTGTGATGATGCTGACGACGATATCCACGATCACGCTGATGATGAAGAGGATGACGATGCGGAGACTCCCAAGGGGCCCCAAGAGGCAACCTCGAAGTACCCAAGAGCCCCCCTAGAGCTCTCCAAGAGGCCTCCGAAAAACTTCCACCACCCATATCCGAACAGGCATCCAGCAGGCCACTGGCCCATCGTCCTGGCATGGTGGCCACAGGTACACAACAACTGTTACAAAACGCTCGGTCTTGGGAGGGATGCTGAGGGCGAGGGCGAGGACGACGACGACGACGAAGACGACGACGATGATGGCGATGACGATTACGATGGTGATGATGACGACGATGATGATGACGATGATGATGGTGATGCGGGTGACGATACTGACGATGATGACGATTGCGATGATGACGACGGTGATGACGATGGTGTTGCTGATGGTGCTGGTGATGATTATGGTGTTGATGGTGATGGTGATGGGGATGACGACGATGTCGATGACGATGATGATGAAGGTGATGGCGATGAGGATGGAGATGGTGACGATTACGAGGATCCTAGCTAGAACTTGAGCGCGCGCGAAGCGCGCGCCATGGTTCTAGTATACATATATTTATAGATACATATACATGGATACAGCGCGGTGGGTCTAAAAATGTGGAGGCGAAGTCGCAATCTTCTGGAAGCACACAGGACAGGTTCCGAAAACATTCGCAGCAGTTTCTTGGTGGGGATCGCTCGAAGCAAACCGAAGCTCTGCAGGTGTGCCGATCGGGTTTGGGCTGCTCGTGGCTGCGCGTGGACGTTTAGCACGGCTGTGCTACGGCGGTGAAGGTTTGCTACCAGCACGCATGTTTTCGTTGTTGCTTGGTGCGCAAGCAAATCTAATTCATCATGTGGAGCACGTCTTCTCATATCACATGGCTTCAGCTCAGTTCAGACAAGCCTCCAACATGCAATCCATCATACAGTGTTTCACTGGTCAGCCGGTCAATCAGTGAAGCGTCTATCCGTTTTCGGGCCAGCCAATGATCAGGTCCACGCCGTGCATTTCTATATGCGAACAAGGAACCGAGTTTGGGTCGCCATTCTCTGGCCGTTCTGGTCACTAGCTGCCAAAATTGACCAGCGTTTGGGGTAGCTTCTGACATCCTCAACTGCACACCTGGAGTTTGAGCTGCCGCAGCCCCCGTGGCGATCCCTGCTCCCGCGGCGCCTGCCAACACACACCGGCACGCGCGATGGCACTCCCCGCCCAGCCCGCTAAGCCAGAAGTGGGGCACGACGAGGCGGGTGGCCCTCACGGTGACTCGGCGGCGGTGGTGCCACACGCGGCGTGCAGCTGCTGGCTCGGAGCTTGGCGGCTTTGGTTAGGGAGCCTGCCGTGGCTGGGCAGCCGTGGCACCGTTGTCCTCGCGGGCCTGCCAGGCAAGGCAGACGAGCCCAGAGCCATCGACGCAGACGCCGAGCAGCAGGCTGTGGAGGCTCAGCCGGCTGAGCGAGCTGTCGGTGGCCAGGCGGGCGACGCAGCGCCCGCAGAGCCCCGGGCCACGGCGCCCGAGGCAGCTCCGCCGAGGAGCACGGGCCTCGATTACCGCAAGTTCGAGCTGCTGGCCCTCCAGGAGGAGAGGGAAAGCCGCGGCAGGGCAGTCCTGCTCTCTGGGCGCAGGGGCTGGAACGCTGCCATCAACGGCATGTACACCGAGGACGGCTGCCTCAACGGCCGGCCGCGGCTCCGGCACCGCAGCGGGGCACGCTGGTTGAAGTTCAACGACGCTGGGCAGTGGATGGTCTCCAAGTACAGCGACGGGCGCCCATGCGGCGAAGCGCTGGCCGCGGACGCGCCCGAATCCCCAAGGCAGATTCGTGGCCCGTGGTACGTCTGCAGCGAGCAGCTCCAGTGGGAGTCCGACGCGTCCGTGGCAGTCACGAGGGAGGGCTGCCTTTGCTGCGGCCGCTCGACGGACAAGCCGCTCCGGTGCGGGAGGTGCAGGGCGGTGAGCTATTGCAGCCAGGCTTGCCAGCGAGCAGACTGGGCCTACCACAGGCGGACCTGCAGCGCGCCCACGGCCCCCGCGGCGGAGGAGAAGGAGGGGCAGGCTCCAGGCCAGGCGGGCGCGGCGGTCACCGTGTGCACGACGGACGCGGAGGGCACGTCAGGCACGGCTGTGGCGCGGGCGGCGGCAGAGGCGGTGGCAGACGTGACGGCCGCCGTTGGCGCGGCGCGCACGGCCGACGCGTCGAGCAAGGCAGGCGTGGCAGGATCGCGCGCCCTCCGCGCGGCGCTGGCCTGCGCCCCGGCCGCCGCGGCCCCCTCGGCCGGAGGCAGGACGAGCGCGTGGAACGCCGCGGGCACGTGGGAGGACCGCAACATGCTCGGCTGGATGCGGGAGCGGCTCCAGCTGGAGCTGGGCTCGCCCGGGGGGCCCAGCTGCCCCTGCGGCGACCAGGGGCAGCGCCAGGGGAGGATGTGGTCAGGGGGAGGGGGGGGGGGGGTGGCGAAGTTTCGAGGTTCGAGGTTTTCGGACGTTCTCGTCGTTTCTCGGTGGCTTCCCAGCCTCGGGATGCTACCCAGCAGCTGCGCCTCGCCGAGAGCATTCCGGGCTTGCCCAGATCGTCCCGAACGGCCGCCGGAGAGCCGAGTCAGAAGCTGAAAGCCAAGGGGCACCGTTAGCGGGGGGATAGGCTCAAGGGTGACTGCATCGACCCTCAACCGCCCCTGGATCGCCGAAAGGTCGGAGGGCACCAACTATACACCAACACCGATCCTGGCCCAGGATCACCCTGGGCCCAGGATCGGTGTATATGCCTTCTTGCGCAAGGCAGGAGGGCGTGGGCCCAGGGTGATCCTGGCCAGGATCGGTGTTGGTGTACACCCTAGGCGATGCTTAAGAAAACCTAAGTTTTCGGCGAGAGTCTCGATTTTTCTTAATGCTTCAATGTAAACCCTAAGATTTGAATAGAAGCTCTGGGTTTTTATTCAAATTCTGAGACTCTGAGTTTCTTAACCGATGATTTCTCAAGCATTTCGCAGGGTGTATAGTTTTGGCGCCTTCCTAAAAGGGGCCCGGTGGCCCCGCCCCGCCCAGGAGCGTGCGGGGCTTGGTCTCCTTCCGCGTCTCTTCCTCCCGCGAGCGTGGCCCCGTCGCGAGGCATCGGCGCGGCGCCGCCGCCCAATCGGAGGTTAGCGTTTGCACCCCGCCCGCCGAACCGGGTCCCCCGAGCGTTCCTCCTCATCCGGCGTCACGGCCAACCTCCTCCTCCCCCTCATCCCCTCCTGCCTCCCCTCCTCCTCCTCCTCCTCCTCCCCCTCCCCCTCCTCCTCCTCCTCCTCCTCCTCCTCCTCCTCCTCCTCCTCCTCCTCCTCCTCCTCCTTCGTCCCTCTTCCTCCTCCTCATCCTCCTCCGGCTCCTCCTCCTCCTCCTCCTCATCATCATCATCATCACGCACCGAGAAATCTCACAGTATCTGCATCATGGCGGGTGCTTTCTGGCCACACCGCTCGGGAAACGATGTACTACAAGATGGGAATGCTACATGTCCGGGTCGGACGCGCGCCTCCAATGAGGACATATATTACTAGTGCGTCTTTGCGCGTTCCTCCCCAGGCGAGGGCGGCTGTGTGGAGGCCGTGCGGGTGCAAGAGGTGGAGGGCATCGCGAGCATAGGCCGGGGGCGACAAAAGTTGAGTCAGGTATGTCCCTCTACAGGAGGCATTGTCAAGAATAGGAAAAGCCAATATGGGGACGATGTTTGACTATGTTTGGGTATGTTTGTTGTTTTTCGTTTTTGACTATGTTTGATGCTTCTGCCAAAACCCGCCTGTGGGAGGGCATGCCCGACAGAAGACAAGAGCTGGAGAGGCGCGCCACGGCCAGACCCTCGAACGCTCCGAAAACGTCAGCTCCCTCGAGTGCCCCGGTGCTCGCCCCCGCGGCCGCCGCCGGCGCCAAAACTTTTTCGGAAGGCTGGGGAGGGCAGGCAGCGGGAAGCGATCGAGGGCTGCAGGAAAGTCGGGCGTGCCCTTCTACAGTTATGATGTTCCAGCCTACTTTAGCCTTGACCACCATAACAGAAAGAATTTCGAGCACCAAGAAAGTATCGAAACTCGAGGTGTTTCACGTGTCGGGCCCTAGGAGGCATTCGCCCGACACTGTTTCGACACTTTTCCAGGTGCTCGAAATGAATTCTGGGATGTGGTCCTTACGTACGATGGGAGCAACATAATTTTACAGGAGGAAGGCTCAAAAATAGTCCAAAAATAGTATGGGGACGATGTTTGGATTATCCGTAAGGGCTTCGCCCCCATGCCGCCGCCCCCCTCTCTCAGAATGGGACTGGCCAGAGCTGTGTTGGGACGTCTGGACGCTGACGTGAAGCCGAGGGGGCTCATCCAAGTCCTGTGGCTCTCGCCACCTCGGGGCTCCCGAGGCCCAGACCTTGAGGAAGTCTCGAGCGGGAGCCTCGTTCGTGATTGGAGTCCGAGCATGGGGTCTCCACTTCACGTCAGTGATGCGTTGGTGTTTGACCCTTTTCCCATCCCTCCTTCTGCCGCCCCGCAGGGGAAGAGGGTCGGCACGCGTGCTGCGTGTCTCCCGGAGTTTCCGCCTGAGGTCCCCTGTGTTTCTGAGTCGCGCAGAAGTCGATAGGTCTCGCCGAGCGGTTCCTACCCTGTCCTGTCGGAGGCGGAGGAGGAAGAGGCGGAGGAGGAGGAGGAGGAGGAGCGGAGAGGAGGAACGAGGAGGTGGAACGAGGAGGAGCGAGAAGGAGCGAGGAGGAGGAGGGAAAGAGAGGGGAGATGAGGGGAGCCAGGAGGAGTGAGGAGGAGGAGTAGGAGTAGTAGGAGGAGGAGAGGAGGAGGAGGAGGAGGGAGGAGGAGGAGGGGGAGGAAGAGACCGGAGAGGAGGAGGAGGAGGAGGAAGAGGCGGTGCTGAGCCTTTGCCCATCCTTCGTTTGCCATGCCCTCCTCGTCTGCAGGCCTGAACCGCGGGGAGCGCCGCCGGCTGTTCGACGTGTCCTTCGAGTTTGTATTTCGGGCCTCCTGGCTACACGACCACGGCAGCATGTCCACCGAGGGCGTCGTACAGGTAGTTGATTCGTGGCGCTTCGCGGGAGCGCTGCCTGACGTCCACCCTCCCGCATCATCGTCGTCGTGGTCCTCCGCCTCCCCTCCTCCTCCTCCTACTCGTCATCCTCCCTCTCTTGGGTATAGCCAGGACCCCAGTTCAGGGGACCCCCAAATTGGCCAGAACCATTACAGGTCTGCCGTAGCTGGTGTTTTTTTCGGGTGCTGACAGTTCTGGTTAGTGGAACAGAGCGGGGGGGGGGGGGCGTCTCCCAGTACACATCACTAAACCAGGTCCCACTAAACCCAGGTCTGCCAACGTCCGATCCTCCTCCTCTTCCTCCTCCTCCTCCTCCACCTTCTCCACCTCCGCCTTGTCCCCCCCCCTCCCCTTGTCCTCCTGATCATCCCCCCCCTCCTTCTACTCCTCCTCCTACGCATCCTCGTCCTCCTCATCCTGCCCCTCCCGCCTTTAGACAGGAGGGTTGTTGGGCCGTCTCACGGTCACGTGTGCTAAGTTTGCCAGAGCACGGATCCCAGAACAAAAAAGAATTTGGCAGTGCGTATTCTAAAGTGGGTCTGTCTGCAGGACTTCCTCCTCCTCCTCCTCGTCCTCCTCCTCCGCACGTACTTTAAAGTGAGTCTGTCTGCAGGAAGGACGAGGCCGAGGAGTCAGGAAATCTCTTCGCGAGGCCAGGTCCGAATTTGAACCAGGGTTTGACCCAGAACCCTCTCCGCTTTTGAAACCGTAGACAAGATTTGATAGATGATACCGTAGACAAGAATTTAGTTAAAGGAGGATCTTCGCGGGCGTAAGCCAAGAACAGCAATAATGTATGACCTTGCACAGCCCGCCCCCCCTGTTCCTTAGGCGCATTGCTGCTGGACCTTCCGCCCTCATCCTCCCCTCGTCCTATTAGTATGATCCTCCTCTTCGAAATCCTTTTTCATATGTCCTCAACACCCCTGGTCCTTCATGTTGTTCCTCCTCATGCTCCCCACCCCCCGCCACCACAGTAGAACAGGTTGTAATAGCACTAATAAGCATTGTCAGCACTGCTTCGAGGCATTGTCAGCACTGCTTCGGCTTCAAAAGCGTCCATGAGCTAGAATAGTTCGTAATGTTATGCGGATTCCAGTGGCAATACCGAGCAGAGTCATCACCGTCATCATCACCACACTCATTATCAATACCATTATCATTATCATTATCATCATCATCATCATCATCATCATCATCATCATCATCATCAGCATCATCATCATCATAATCATCACCACCTTCATCGTCATCATCAGCAGCAGCATCATCAGCAGCATCATCATAATCAGCATCATCATCATCAGCATGATCATCATCATCATCATCAGCATCATCATCATCTTAATCATCATCATGATAGTCAGCAGAATCATCCGATTCATCATCATCATCATACTCGTCCTCATCGTCATTATCGACATCATCCTCATCGTCATCGTTATCATTAGCATCAGTACCATCACTCTCATCATCATCATCATCATCATCATCATTGGCATGATCATCAGCATCATCATCCTCATGATCCTCATCCTCAGCCGTCTTGGGACTCTCTTGGGCCCGTATTCTGGCTCGTTTGTGGCCACCTTGGGCCGTCTTTGGGCTGTCTTGGGCTGCTTTTGGTTCGTGTTGCATCATCTTGGCCTCCTCTTGGCCGTCTTGAGGCTTTCTTGGCCCCTCTATAGTCACTCTCGGGCACTCTTGGCGCCCTTCTGCGATCTCTCTTTCTCTCTCTCTCTCTTTCTCTGGCTCCTCCGAGGGCCTCCTCGGGCCATCTTGGTCCGAACGCTTCGAAGCCAAATCGCAGTCAGGCCAGGCATGCCAGGCCAAAGAGTGCTTGCAGTTGACCGACCTGGCAAAAGAGAGCGCCGACGCGCTGTCCCAATTAGAATTGCCCTGGAGCTCCAAATCATCGTCGCGCCTTGGCGCTAAGAGGAGGGGAGCCTGCAGTGGCTGGGCTGGGTGCTTGGGTGCGCCTGCAGTGGCTGGGCTCGTGACATCCAGCGGCCCGCAGCTGGCGCTGCTCCCCTGGCGCACCTGGCGGCGGTGCATCCCCAGCACCCTCAGGGCCGCCCCTTCGGCGAGCTGGCGGACTTCATCCAGCCGGGTGGCGAGCCTGCCATCGACGAAGCTGCGCGCGAGCTGGGCGCTCTCCGCGAGGCATCGCAGCCGTGGCGGGTGCAACGGCGGCTGGCTCACGTGGACCAGAGCCGACCACCAGAGGTCACACAGCGCGTTCCACCACTCGCAAGGTGTGCCTACTCGTAAACGTCAGGCAAACACGTGCGTGTCTCGATGTAAGGTGTCGTAGATCCCCAGCGGCGGGCCCAGGCCAGTTGCGAGTAGCTGTTCTGCGAGTGCTGAGTGGAACGAGCTTGTCTAAGAGCTCCCGCGCCGGGCGCACCAGGCACCGCGCCGCGTCGGCGGGAGGCCGGTTCCGCTTTCCGCCGGCGGACTTCTTGCAAGTTGTTATTTCTGCCGCCGAGGGTGGCGAGCGCCGCAGGCGAAGCCCTCTCTGGAACACCCCGACTGGGTCCACTGGCTTCCGCCACAAGAAAGCACCGCGTCCGGCCTGGGGACGTATTCGGCTGGCGCATGGTGACACAATTTGCACTAAGGGCACCCCCGTTTAGGCCTTTCCGCTAGCGCAGGCTTCCCTTGCTTCACCGCCGAAGCAAAAAATGGATTCGGCTGGCGGGTGGGCGGGGGCCCCAGACCCTCGGCGTCGCGTCTTCGTTCGCAGCGATCGTTTTACAGCCCGGAGAGTTTTTGCTCCGGGGGCCGCAGCGTGGATCCTCTGCCTCGACCCTTTTCCCGGGGTTGGGCTTCCTCCTGGATGTAGCTTGTGACCGCGTCTGCAAGGGCCACCCACGCCGAAAATGCCGAACCGCTTGAATTCGAGGGGGTCCGGGAAGGCCCCGCTGGAGCCGGGGGGGAGGACTCGAGATGTACAATTGTTTTGTTTCTCCGGGGCCCGTGGTCCCCGTGATGGGCAGGGTGGGGGCAGTGTTTGATGCGCGCGCGGCCTGCGGGGCCAATGGGCCTCTTGCCTGGTGGGTTGCGGCCGCCGTGGTGCATCGATGGGGAGCTGGATGTGGATCCAGCCCTCCTCCTCCTCCTCCTCCTCCTCCTCCTCCTCCCTCTCCCCCTCCTCCTCCTCCTACAAGCACCCGGCCCAGCGCGGGGGGTGCATTCTGATTTACGGGGCCGCATGTATGCTCCTCCACCACACTTTATTGGTTTGACGGCGTTGCAACACAGCGCCGCAGGTACAACGCACATCCTCTCAGCTCATTTCTTTCCCTTTGTGTGTCGATTATTCACGGATCGCGGCTGGCCGCCAGGTGTCATCGCATGCGTCATCATGATCAAGGGCAGATCAGTTTTGCCGTACAGCCCCATGTCGGTGGCAGCCCATGATAGGTTGTTTGACATTGCGGCAGTGACAGACCAGTTTAATTATGCACGCCTGATGGGAACGGGAGCTCGCCAGCACAGAAATGAGGACGCGGTATGGAGAAGGGCGGGAAGCAGATGGGCGATAGAGGCAGGATGGGCAATGGCTGCATGCAGTAATCGTAGTTTTGGATGCGCGGTGCTATTTGGACTTCGGATACCCAAGCGCGCTGTTACCCATACGTGGTCGACCCACCCCGCATCGCAGGATGGGGAGTGGCGGCCCGAGCGCGTGCGTCTCAATTCGACCTCGGCATTGCACGTGCGCGCTTCCCACCCCCACCTTCACGAGCCCCCGAGCTTCCTGCATCTGTCAAGACTAGCGATGCCATGGTCAACTGGATTCGGCCACTCTCTACTCTCTCTCTCTTCTCTCTCTCTCTCTCTCTCTCTCTCTCTCTCTCTCTCTCTCTCTCTCTCTCTCTCTCTCTCTCTCTCTCTCTCTCTCTCTCTCTCTAGTCTCGGCTCGAGAGTGCCCAGCACTCAGACCGCAGCCGCGACGCGAAGCGCCCCGCCTCGGAGCCAGACTCCCAGGCCTCGCGAGACCGGAGGGGTCCCACCAGGACCCTACTGATTCGCGTCACCTCTCCTCAGTGCGACCGCCGCCATGGCCCCCCTGTCTGTGCCAGGCCGCCACCGCACCTTCACGTCTCACCATGCTGTACTACCTGAGCTACCTGGCCATGTTACTGTGCACAGGCACCAGGACCTTGTCTTCCGCGTGCCCGTCCTGCATGGGCGCGACCTCCCAGTACCACCTGGACACGCCCCACACGTGCCGCGTGCGGATCTTCACGAAGATCTACGTATACTTGGGCATGACGTGTTTCACCTGCGCGCCGAGCTGCGCGCCTACCGAGCCGACCTCCGCGCTCACCTACCAGGCACCGACGCCAACGCAGACGACTCCGTCCAGCACCTGCACACCTCGGTACGGCCAGGTATCCAGGGGGGGGTCGGGCCCCCGACTGCTGAGGGTGACGGTGCTGAGTGCGGTCGGGCTGTTCCCACGCCTGCCGTCGTCGCGCCGTGCGTGACAAGCAGTCGGCCCCCAACCTCCCCCCGAGAGCGCTCCCGCGGCAACGTAGGCACCGCTCTCATCTTCATCGGCGTTATCTTGCTGAACTTTGGGTACGGCCGTGGCTCCACCTTCAGCATCGTTCTCGGCACCGTCGGTCCGCAGACAGCATTGACGCCAGCTCTGACGACGGCACTGCAGTCAGCATCGACGCCAGCGAGTGGTACGAATTCGGCACCACCCTCGCCCCCTCCCTCACCCCGCCCCGCAGGAGGAGGAGGAGACGATGACGACCACGACGACCTTGACGACTCATTACCGGCGCCGGCGCCGAGGTCAGCACCGACGCTCCCACCGACGGCAGTCGCCGATCTATCGATGATGCATGCATATACGACCACAGGTTCGCTGACCCCGACGGCAGCATTGACGGCGGCGAGGACGGCTCCGACGGCAGCACCGCTAGCATCACAGACTCCGACGGCGGCATCGATAGCACCGCCGGCTCCGATGGTAGCATCGACGGCAGCGACGCCACCACTGCCAGCGG